TTATTATTATTATTATTATTATTATTATTATTGCAGAACCAGAGATTGAACTCAGGCCCTTGTACTTGCCAGGCAAGCACTTATTCTACTGAGCTATTTTTCCAGCCCCTAATGTGGTAATTATTGAAACTGTCCTACCAATTTGGTTTGAAACTGTCTCATTGCTATTTGTTTCTCAATAAAATTATGGAAAATAAATGAAATACACACGAAAGTATTTAGAAGTAAAAGGAACTGTGTTTGTGACTTATGCTCAAATGAATAAGAAAAAAATGTAAAATTTGATTGTACATGCACGGAGTGACACAAATGTGGCAAAATGTTAATGAGTATAATGTGGGTAAGGCACTAAAGAGCTATTTGTCCAGTTTCCTCAGATTTTCTGTAGGTTAAAAATTATTTCAAAAAAGATTGTTCTTTAAAAATTGTGCTGTGGCTGAATAAGGTGGCACAAGCCTGTAATCCCAGTGTTCAGTAAACTGAGGGTAGAGGATTGCCCTGAATTTAAGGCCAGTCTTGTCTACAGAGTGAGTTTAAGTCCAGCCTGAACTGCATAGCAAGATCCTGCCTTGAATAATCAACTAAATAAAAAATTAAAATGTACTCTAGCTCTTTTCCCTCACACATTTCCTTTTCTTGCTTATTCTCAGTTTGAGGTTTTAGTTGGTAGAGAGTTTATGTAGCCTCAGCTTTACTGATGAAGTGACATGACAGCGTGACATGACTGGAGAGGAAACAGGGCTGCTCCAATGTACAGTCGCTGCCTGATGAGGGCTGTGGCTCCAGATTTGTCCCACCTCCCAGAAAGAATGCAAGTATTTTAGTGTCTTCTTGTCATCACTGTTCTGGTCACTGGTAGCTGGGAGGAAAGGCAGAACCACAAAAGGTAGCAAGGGGAAAGTGCATCCTTTCTTAAAAAGCCCAGGCTAAGCAAAGGTGTGGGGGGTCCTAAGAGAAATGGATCTAACATGGTAGCCTGAGATGATTCCTTTATGCAAGTGCTTTGCATTGGACAACTGCCTGGTTAAATTTCTTTAATATCCAGAATAATGTGAGCATAATACAAATGCTTTGCTGTTACAGTAGGCAAGTGGATAGTCCAATCCAGAGGTTTAGGTATAGATTTCACAATTACAAAGAGGTGGTATTAGCATCATCTTTAACAAACATTCACCCAGAGGAGTACTGACAAAATGCTTTGCAGAAGCAAAGGCCAGGGTTATTGACGAAGTGCTTTATGCAGCCAAACATTATTCAGAAAATAAAGATTCCATAACAAGCCATCAATTTCACAGCCATTGTTATAAACATATCAGCAGCCACAAGGTAATAAGTTAAGCTGTACATAGTGACCATTGGCAGTGCTTGGGAGACTGGGAGTGTAGGAGGCCTAAGACCTGACGTCAGCCTGTGCCCCACCCACTGCTTGCTGGTCCCTGTAATTTACAATTTGTTCTGTTCATTCTGAGGCTCCCACTCAGGAACCCTATTCTAGAAAAGTCTAGTTTCCCCTCGTAACTCAGGGTATCTGTTTATCTATGTCAAGGATTACAAGCAGTCTACAAAACTGACTGCCTTTCAAAGGCAATGAGAAAGAATGAACACCAAAGATAAGCAAAAGCTGTAGAGTATGAAGTGTACCCAAGCAGCACCCACTTCCTATCCCAGTGGTGGATTCTGTTTGAATGGGCAAATCTCTACACTGGGAGCAATGAGTTGCCAACATTAGAGTGGGATTCTCATGGAGGAATTTCCATTTTTTTCAGAACCAACACTTTAGCTGAATCCACTGTTCACTTAGAGCTGGTGGAGCAGGTTTGCCCAAGAGGCCACACCCCGTTGATATCACCCAGGGCCGAGGGCCTCTCTGTCCTGGAGAACCTAGCCAATTAATTTTTTCAGCCACATTCTTGGCAGGTGTCAACTTGCCCTTCACAAAAGTTCAGCAGCTGTGGTGCTTCCTACAGGTTTCACCCCAATGTCAAGTCTCTGCAGGGCTGGGAGAGGGCCCTGGGTGGGCCAGTCAGGTCCTGTCTGTCTCCTTCTCTAGCCTGCTAGGCACAGCTCATAAGTGGCTTATCCTGCTCCTGAGGGTAAGTGGAAGCTCTCCTGTATTCAGGTACATTACTAACTCCCAGGACAGCTCAGCCAGCTCTTTCTCCCATGCCCTCAGCAAATGAGGATGAAAAAGAGCCAGCCTACATTAAGCAACTTGAAGTCAACATCTTAAAACACCACTGTAGATGTAATCACCAGGTTAAAGGTTGAGCTTCTGTCACGAGGGTCCAACTTTCAGCTCCGTGGCATGTACCATTGTGGTGCTTTCTTTGTGGATCTTTCATTAATTTTGCACAGTGTTGCACAGCTTCAATTTCTTTCACCTTGGTTTATTTCCAGAATCATCAAAGAGCCATCTCAAACTGCTTATGGCGGTGCACACCTGTAATCCCAGCACTCAATGCTGAGGCAGGAGTATCACTGTGAGTTTGAGGTCTGCTTATGCTACAAAGTGAGTTCAAGGCCATCCTGAAATGCACTGTGAAACTGTGTCTCAAAAAGCCAAAAAATCAATCAATCAATCAATCAATCAATCAATCTCAGGTTCTGATGTTTATATGTTTTTAAGAGGTTTCAATTAGATTTGGTTTTTAGTAATCCCAGTACCCTAATATATGTTGATAACTTTTAATTGGGTGCATTACTATGAGCTGTATTTTCTTTTTCAAGATGGAGGAGTTTTTGTTCCTTTGTTTTTGTGGTGCTGAGGATTGAACCCCAGACCTTGGACATAGTAGGCAACAGTGCTCCCCACTTGGCTACATCCCCAGCTGTAGCTTCTGAGGCTAAAGACAGCAGCCCCTCCACTGAAGCCTGAGTTGTGCCTTTTTGGGCTGCTCATCTTTTTGACTGAATTTGGACAGTAATGAAAAAGTCATTTCTGTTCTTTGAAGAGAGTCTTTCTCTTCTCTTTGCCCCAATAGCACTTGTGCCTGCAGGCAGAGCAGTGACCTGCTTGCACCAGGGGTGGACGGGGGCTTGGAAGAGAGAAATTGAGGACTTTCAAAAGGGCTCCTCGGGGCTGGGGAGATGGCTCAGTGGAATAAGTGCTTTCTTGGCAAGCACAAGGGCCTGAGTTCAATCCCCTGTTCTGCCAAAAACAAACAAACAACAACAAAAGGGCTCCTAAAGCAACTCGAAAACCTGGATTGAAACCAAATCTGTTTTTTACATTTGCCTCAGGTCTGCTTTGTGAAGATATTAGAAAGCAAGCTGTTCAACAATAAGGTGAGAGGAGATCTTTACCAATACAGCTAGTCATGCTAAGAAGGTAATATAAAATGGCTTCAATGGGGCATGCAGCAGAATGCACATTATTTGTTTAGTTAAAAGGGAAAAAAATCTCACTGATGAAAATAAGAATAACTGACTGTGGAAACTTAATCTTTATCAGCAGAAAAAGCCCCGTTTCAAGGACTGAGTGTGACAGGGTATCAGGATCTCCCTGGACCCACGATTCTGAGAGCAGGATGGTTCTGTGGAGATTAGCTTGGTTTCCCTTTGTACAGGAATTGGCACAATTATAAAAGGAAAGAGCAAGAGCTTCTCTTAGGTATAGCAACAGGGAAACATACAGACCACATAATAGCTATGTGACAACTACTCATAGTCAGTGAAGAACAATATTCTGAGAAGCCAGTTGAATATCACTTTTGTCAGTAGGTGATACCGACTTACTTTCCCCTGTTCTCACTGTTCAAGACAGCACACATCTTGTGCAAAATTTTATCAGAGGTTTCCACAGGGGAAGATTTCCATCCAGTCCCTGCTATTCCCCACAGAAGATTAAGCAGAAGTCTCCTAAGTTATTGTTCACTGTAACTCAGGTGTGCTTCCATGAGTGCTGTGAGTCAGACTTCCTTCAGGGGCAAACTCCAGGGCCACCAGGTGGCCTTAGTCATAGATTAGAATCACGTGATGGGGCAGCAGTTGTTGCTGATGTGAATCCTTTCTTTTAGCAGCAGACCTGGGCCCTTAAAAGTCTTCAGGGACTATAAACAACAGATAACATTTTAAAAACAGGTAAATCAGACTACAGTCATTATTCTTTGGAAGGTTTTTTTTTTAACTTTTCAGGGTAGCTTGCTGTTCCCCTGCCAGTACAACTTTTCCTCTACTTTTTTCTTTTTCCATCGGCAGAGAAGTAGCATCTTAAAGGTCTTCCTGAAGGTTCTGTTGCAGAGGGCATAGCAGATGGGGTTGACTGTACTGTTGACATAGCATAGCCAGTAGCCCAGGTGCCACAGGGTGACTGGGATGCACTTATCACAGAAGGTGGACACCAGAACCATGATGTTATAAGGGGTCCATGTAATGATGAAGGCCAGGAGAATGGCACTCAAGGTCTGGGCTGCTTTCCTCTCTTTGACTAGGACCATTCGCTTTCGTTTAGTCATTTGATGGCTGAGGTTGGGGTCGAGGCCTTTGGATGAAGGGTCCTTGGAAACTGGGAAGGAGCAGGGCATGATTTTTACTTTGTGACAGCCGTTATTGGTTTCCTGGGTCCCATCAGCTTTAACTACCAGTCGGAACTTATAGGCCACACATTTCTGACTCTTGAGTCTGTGAGCAGCAGCTGGTGACAGGAAGTATTTGGGCGTGTCGTAGCCAGATGTTTCAGTTTGAGCTTTCCCAAACATCTCCTTGGTTTCTTCAGCACTGAATTCTTCCCTTGGGCTTTCCTTGGCCTGACTCTTGTAGACCACCTGGAAGACAGGCTCAGTGGGGGGCTTGTGTTCATCCTTGGAGGAGGGGTATTTGCTACAAGCAGTGAGCTGCTCTGCTTTGGTCCAGCTGGTGCTTTGGCCAGTGGCTTGGGGTAGCTTCCCTGTGCTGGAGGTTCTCCTACGAGAGGATGACCAGGAGACCTGGCTCCTTTCCCTCTGGGCCAGAGTAGGTGGAGGGCAGCGGAAGCAGGACCTGAGCAGAGCCCTGTGAGCTGGCTTTTTCTTCTCAGCTTCAGCCACAGAGTCAGAGCCCTGGAGGTCAGCCAGATCTTTGGTTCGCCTCTCAGTTTCTCGGTAGATTCGGCAGTAAAGAATCGTCATGACAGAAACAGGGATGTAGAAGGCAGCAATGGCTGTGCCAAAAGTGATGGTGGGCTCAGAGAGAAACTGGATCTGACACTCATCTGGGGGCACTGTCCGCTTCCCAACCAAGTACTGCCAGCAGAGGATTGCTGGCGCCCAGAGGATGAAGGAGATCAACCAGGCCAAGCCAATCATGATGCCAGCCCTCTTCGGGGTTCGCTTGGCCCGATATGTCAGGGGTCTGGTGATGGAGAAGTAACGGTCGAAGCTGATCACCAGGAGGTTCATGACAGAAGCATTGCTGGCGACATAGTCTAGTGCAAGCCAGAGGTCACAAGCCAAACTCCCCAGAGCCCAGCGTCCCATTAAGATATAAGTAGTGTAGAGGTTCATGGAGAAGCCCCCAATGATGAGATCCGCACAGGCCAAGCTGAGCAGGTAATAATTGTTAACTGTCTTGAGCTGACTGTTGACTTTGAAGGAGATTATGACCAAAACATTGCCCACAATGGTGATTAGGCTGGCGACGGCGGTCACCGCTGCGATGGTGATGACTTCCCACAGCCGATGGTGCTCCCAGGGCTGGCGCTGTACTCGGGTGCCATTGACAGAGCTCACGTTGTGGTAAGACTGCCCTTCCATCCTGGAGCAAGAGTCACATCGAAGGTCAGGTCGGAGGTTTTGGTTCTCTGCTCTTCCTCACTTCTTCTTGGCCAATATCTGAAAGAGAGCAAACCATGTTAGGTCCACTCAGCAGCATGCATTTCATTTCCACCCCGTTTACCATTTCTAACAGAATATTAAAGGTGGCCTTACACGTAGTTAGAGAAAGATGCTGGAGTCGCTAAACTTCTGACGACATTTTAATAGCCGCATTTATCTTTTTGCTTTGTAGATTACTGCTGCCCTCTTGAGGTGACTTTTTAATGAAAGGTCTGAGAAAATGAAGAAGAAAAAGCAAAAAGAATTGGTCTACTGGGAAGTAGGGACGTTAGCCGACCTTGGATTGCAGTGATCTTACGAGCAGAAACTGTTTTTAAGCAACTGATAATAAATACCTAAACTGTGCTGCAGTGGGGAAAAAAACCGTTGTGTTTAGTCTCCGGTCTTAGTCTTGATTGTTAAGCTTTGGTGGAGGGCTGTTGTGCTGCATTGTGCCACCTTGTCCTGAACAAATCCCACGTGCAGACCCGGGGGTCATTGAAGGCCTTTAAAATTTATTCACTCTTTTAATAAACCTTAATTTGTTCCTTGTCCTTTTTACCTTTTATTTTTAAATTTATTTTAAAGAGTATAATAATAGGGCCAGCCAAATAGCTCAGCGGATTAAAGTGCCTGCAAGCAGGCACTGGGGCTGGGGGTCCGATGCCCAAGCCTGCCGTGCTGGCCTCGCCCCCAGGGCGTGCTGAGACAGCAATTGAGACTGGGTGTGGTGGTGCGCTCCTGTAATCCCAGCTCTCTCCAGGCTGTAAATAGGCGGATCACTACGAGTCTGATGTAGTCGTGAGATCCTGAACACCCTGTAGACCCTTCCCTAAAATACAAACAAACAAAAAACTATAATAATACTACATAAGACATTAAAGAGAGCATATATTTAAAAGGACAAGATGAAAGGTATTCAACTGTGGTTGTTATATTGCACATTGCTGTCCTCAATGTAGTGGCTCAGATTACAGATATTAGCATATACAGTTATTCAATGTAAAAATTTTAAACATTAACTGCAACTTTCAAAAAACTGATAGAAATTAGCAGTACAATCTTCTCTGCTACCTTGTCTATATAATTAACATGATTTTTCCCCTTTCCTTTTTTCCTATCTTCTCCTTTCTCTCATCTCCATTGTTTGCTTCTTATGTTCAGTTTCTTTCCACTTGACTACACCTACTGCACCTTTCAGATTTTATTTATTCTCAAAGTGTAAATTTAGAAAACAAGTCTTTGCTAATTCCATCCTTCTGGTAATAAATATGTAAGTATATTTTGCTCATTAGAGGTTACTATTTATCTTAATTTTCAGAGATGCTTCACGATAGGTAACAATTAGCTCTGAAATCACAAACTTCCAGGCACATTGTTGTAATGAGTGTGAAGGGGAAGCATCTTTCTGATGACCCTGAAGCACTCCATCTGGGCAGTGCCTGCTATACGGACAGGTCAGTCTTAATAGGAAGGATTTTTTTTTTTCTGGTTCAGGCTGCCATAAGGGTGGGTCTGGTGAGGCATGGGGAGCTGAGGATCGAACCGTGGTCTGCTGTGCCTGCTTGGGTTAGCCCCAGAAGGCACTTAAACAACTCAGCTAACTAGCAACCCCCCTCAGCCTTAATAGGAATCGACATCAAGATGACAGCTTTTGAAGGGGTATCTACTTTCTTTGCTTTGTTTTGTATTTTCACTGTCATACTGGAAAAGATACTGTCTTTCACCAGAAGCCAGATTTTCCCAGCTTTCTGATCTTGCACCCCTTTTTACATCCCAAAAGGATGCAGCCCAATTTACCTATGAATTTTCCTTTTCGTCAGTGTCTTCACATCCCACTGTTACCACCCTGGTTCTGTGCTGCTCCTACCTAGGACTTCTTAGTGTTATCAGCATCCTACAAGCCATCAGAACAAAGCCCAAGGGCAGCTGGTCAGTAGGCAGAGACTCTCCAGTAGCTGAAAAGGTTGAAGTTACTCTGTCTTCTGTTGGCACGTCTGTCACAGATTGTTTTCTAGTTATCATAGTTAAGCTGTCAGCTTAACTGTTGGTCTTGGATAAGACTAACCTATGGAACATCTATTTGGTCATGGACTCCACAGGTGGGGATACCTGGGAAGAGGATGTGGAACTGCCTTGGAGACCCTGCTTGGGAGATAAAGAGCAGGGGTAGAGCAGGCTGTGGGGCCAAGGTGAAGGCTGGCCAACCCAGTGCAGTGGGCTGGGAGGCAGCCCTGAGGAAGAGATTGAAGTCTACGGAGACTTGAAGCAGGAATGGGCTTCGGGCAGATGTAAGGTGGGCTGGCTCCAAGAGTGGGAGTAAAAGAGGGTCCAACCCAAGAGGAAGAGCTGTTTGCAAACCAAAGAAAAGAGGAAGCACCTGCACAGCAGTGGAGGAAGAACCAGCAGTGTGAGCTGTGCCTGGGGAAGCTGGAGGGGTTGGGCGGGGTGGGGGTGGGGGTGCGTGGGGCCTTGAGAGACAAGGCAGCTACCTGGAAGAGCTGTGTGAGCAATTTCTGGGATTCTTCCTCTGTTCTGAAGGTAGCCACAAAATCTGGATGTTGGGGAACATTAGCCTGCAGAGAAATAGTAAAATGATTTGGCTGTTCATTGCATTTTTCTCATCAATTCTTCAGAGTAGAAATGGTGTTTTGGAAAGATTTGATTTTTCTAATTGATTTGGGAATTTTGGATAGGTGAGTACTCTTGTGAATGTATATGTCCAACCTGGAGACTTCTTTTTATCTGTTTTCTCAGACATTATTATATGATGCGATAGTTAATTTTGTGTGTCAGCTTGTCTAGGCTGCGTATCCAGTTGTTGGGATGAACCAATCCAGATGTTGCTGTGGAGGTATTTTTTAGGTGTGATTACCGTTGAAATGAATACTTTGAGTAGATCAGATTGATTATCCTCCAGCATGTGGGAGGGCTTTACCCAAGGTGGTGAAAGCCTTATGGGAGAAGGCAGGTTTTCCCACAAGAAGGAATTTTGTCTCCAGGCTGTTTTAGGACTAAAGATGACATTACCTCTTGTTGGGTTTTCCATTCCACCTATTGGCTTCAAGCTTGCCAGACCCCCTTGACATGTGAGCTGATTCCTTAAAATCTCCCTCTCCATCAAAATGAGCATGTTACAGTGGTATATGCTTACACATGGGTATAACAGTGCAGATCACAATAGCTAAAATAGGGAAATAGCTTAAATGCTCATCAATGGATAGATTAGAAGTTGTGGAAGATATAAACAATGAAGCACTATTCAACCATCAAGGATAAGCTTTAGTCATTTTTGGGAAATTGGTTGGTTTTTTTTTTTATTTTAAAGAGAACATAAAAGAGGCTGCGGAGATAGTTCAGTGGTCTAAGTGAGTGCCTGACTGGCAAGTGCAAGGACCCAAGTTTGATCCCTGGTACTGCATGCCATGCCCTCCCCACAACCCGGCCACTGAAACTGGGTGTGGTAGTGCACACCTGTAATCCCGGGGGAGGCTGAGACAGGAGGATCACTATGAGTCTGAGCTGTTCAGTGAGACTCTGTGCCAAATAAATAAAAAAATAAGAGATTAAAGAGAACAGAAAAATAATAAATGAGACATTAAGAAATGATATACAGGTTCAAAAAACTCCTAAGATGATAGATATTCAACAGTGGCTGTTCTATCGCACATTGCTGTCTTCAATGTAGTTGTTCAAATTACAAATATAAGCTTGCAAAATTGGTCAAAGTAAAAATTTTAAGCATTGACTGCTACTTTCAAAAAATGAATAGGTAAAGGGCTAGGGATATAGCTCAATAGCTCAGCAGCATAAGTATCTGCCTGGCAAGTGCAGGGTTCTGAGTTTGATCCCTGGTACTGCAAAA